ATATATATATATAGATATATATATATATATAGATATATATAGATATATATATATAGATATATATATATAGATATATAGATAGATAGATAGACAAGACAATTGTGGTCCATACAGAATGGCCCCATGACCCACTTTTAGACTGCGACCCACCAGTTGGGAACCACTGCTTTAGAGTACACTTCAGTGTTTCCAAAAGTGAGCTGAAGATGTTTGATGAGTTTTACACTTCATGGAAAAGGAGTATAACCACTCAAATAAAGCTCCATGTCCTTCAGGCAATTAGTGATGCTTCTGTTTTGTGCTTTTTTTTAATCAATGCAGGGGGTGTGCAATTGTAGAAAGAGAGCACAATATGTGCTTTGTTTTTTGTCTTGTTTGTTTTTTTCTGGAGTTTTTTCTACGTGGTCTCATGGTCTCTGCACTCCATTATTGAGTAAAAACTCTTCTTATACATAACACATTTTTCTGTCTCTGTTTTCCCTCAGCTGGAGAAAAAAGAGGTAACACCGCCCTTCAAACCTCAAATCACTGATGACTACGGCCTCGAAAACTTTGACACGCAGTTTACTAATGAACCAGTGCAGCTAACACCAGATGATGAGTAAGTACTGCCTCTTGAAATCACATCATTATTAAATTAACTGAATGTTAAACCATTAGTCAGCCGTATGTGAATAATTTAGAGCACTCTTTCACATGTGTCAGTCAAGTGAAAGCTATGCACTTCTGTATGAAGATCTGTTCAGAGACTTGAAATCTGCCTATAGCTCATGTCTGTCATCATGTCTGTTTTTTCCTTGCTATGTGACTTTTCAAGTCATGACATGATGATAACTTTGACAACAATAATTTATTACCAAAGTAAAGCAGGATTTAGGTCTCTGCCATGTTGATTGCATGGTGAAATGTGGAAATCAGTAACTACCTAGATAATGTAAAAAAAAAAAAATACAACAACAAAACACCTCACCATACACACATCTTCACCCTTTCAAATTTCAATAAGTCTCACTTTTTGTGTAAAGCAATGAAACCATAATAAGACTTTAGCTATTATGCATAGATCTGTTTTTCAAAACAATTTAATTTGTGGAAACAGTTTCTAAGCCTCAAGCTGACTCTGACTGAGTGTTTCCGATGACATCGTTTGAGTGTTAATTGAAAACTGGCGTTGCTAGGAGACACGCTGTTCACTTCTGTGGTGTATTCAGATCTGGGCCTTTGAAAGATTCAACATGTTTGAAGACCATCGTGCTGTTAAGTTTGTATTCAACCCAGAGAGGAGGAAGGCTAGCTAATGTTAGCCAGGCCCCCACAAAGTGTGCAAAACTGCTAAGCCAGTTTGACATAGTGGCCAAATTGTGTTACAACAACTTCCGCGTCCATCATGTGATGCCATCGGACCCAAAAGGGCTTTTTCTCACCTTGTGAAAGAGATGTCTGTGAATCAGTGGATATTTTTTTTTTTTTTAGCATCAAACCCCCACCTTAATGACTCATTTCACTTTCGGGATTTGATCTATTTGGTCCAATAACATTTTAAAGTCTAGAAGAGCCGCTAGATGAAAACATTTTATCCCCATTGAAGACGGCGAAAGTAAGCCGCTCCGCTGGCAAAGTCTCTAGTGTACCTACCCTATGTTGACATAGACGACGAAGATCGGGATAATTTTCTACCCAGGAGGTCTTTTTTGGCCTCATCTGTCATGGGAATGAACGGGGCCCCACCTCCAACAATGTATCCATTTCACTTTATACATCCATGGTGTTAGCTGTCTCTGTGTCAGGGGTCCAGATGTGGTGATGAACAGTTTAAACTCATAGTAAGGGGCAGTCTTGTAGGACTCTGTATCAGTACTCAACACCTTTAAGGTACTGACTATAATAACCCAATATTAAGTAGTATCAAATCTCAAATCAATCAATCTCAAATGTCTCAAATCCAATGATACCTACAATTGATCCTTTTTGTGCCAGGGGTCTGATCTCAGACAGTCCCAACTCCCCATGGATCAGCATACTTTTCTGTTGCAGCCATCTCTTGAGCTGCTTTTCTTCTGGTGAACAGTCAGTTTAATGTCTGCTTAGTTAGCATGAGCTAAAACAACAGCAACGCCAACATCCAACAATGAGCGGACCTCTGTTAATAATATGTCTTTGCTTGCTTTCTTCACTATTGTCTTCTTTATTCTGTATTCTACCTAAAAGAATAAATCCGACGTTGACTCACATGGGACTACAAACCTAGTTCTGTTCTTTACTCATTCATACACCACGTCTTATTCCCTTTGTGGACAGTGTCACTCTGTGTACTTCGTCATCTGACTTTCTGGGAGTACATTTGTGAGTTTTTTCTCGTAAATTTACCACTTCAATCTCAAAGAATATCCAAGATTGACTAGTACTAGCCCTAACCATGACCTTGCTGCCCTAACCCTAACCGCCATTGCCCTCAACAAGCATCAACAAACACTAGCCAATCACAGAACACAGTGGGAGGCATAATACTGTGTTGTAGAGATGGGTGGAAATAGCTGGAAAGCTTCAGTGTGACTATTCTCATCTGGGTGCAAAGACATACTCAGATTAATGAATAGAGTATCATATTAAAGCCAGCTATCAGTAGAACCTGTCATGGTTGAATAGAGATTGAAATTATTTTACATGTATTTTCAGTCAGTGGATGTTGTGCCATCTTTCCAGAAGACTTCTGCATCCAATAAAGAAAAGCATCCCCCCCCGCGAGTTCCCCGCACTGACGTCTTTATCCATCAGGGACAGTGTTTTGATTAATGCAACCATGTAGCCTTTAGGATCTGACAGGAGCGCTTGTTTAAGATTTAACTTTGGAGAGAAAAGGCTGAAGAGATCTGGCACAACAACAGACACGGCACAGGCTCCGCTGCTGCAGACCAAAACACAAGCATGGCCTGTTTTCCTCTGTGCCGTCACAAAATGGATTCCATAAGGCTTTGGCAGGCCTTGCTGATGGATATTACCAGGCTTATGTTAGACAACATATTCATTTAAATCCATGCTGGATTGATTTTTCAGGCTCTAACATTTATATTTTTCCTGCAAAACCATTATTGGACTGATTTTAGAAAACCATTTCTCAACAACCACGCTGATCAGAAGCAGAAGCTGAACAGAAAATTAAATACATCATGCACCTCGCCCCAAATGGAATCCTTCTCAGCATTTTCATCAGTAACAGTAGGACATGTACTGAGAACTTTTCTAAAAAGGATGTAATCTTAAACAGTGCTGTAGGAAATTATTATTTATAATGTCATATCTGAAGGAATATGGGATAGGAATGTATCTAATATGCTGAGGCAGTTTATGTGTTGAAGGGCACGGATGCTCCCTGCAGTTTTCCACACTGATATTTTCTACAATAACTGGTATGAGCTGTTTTCTAAAGGTAGCACTGGGACAATATGGTTACCTTTGCATTTTTATACTATCGTGATACTTGGGTGCTGAGGCAATATATATTGCAGTTTTTAAGTACTGCGATTCTACAAGTTTTGCCATCCAATATTATAATTTATTGCAATTTTTGTTTACTTTTTAACACTAGACCATGGGAGAAGTTAAATCATACAGTTACATACGAGACTGTTTATCATGAGGCCTATTTGCAAAAAATAATGCACAGCACATGTCAGTTGTTTGAGTTTTATTTCAGCAGCATCATATACTGCATAGAAAAGTGGCCACTATACTAATCACTGTTTTATGGTCTTATTTTAAATAGCTATATTCCTGTGAAGCACTTTGTGACCTTGCTCTGCAAAAGGTTCTATATTAAACCAGCTTTACTTACTTACTGAAATCTACATGTACAATAGAATTAATAAAAAGAAAAAACTTTTTTTTAAGGTAAACTTGAACTGCTACATTTAGCTGTCCTTTCAGGGCCATAGGTGGCTTAGTGGTAGAGCAGGCACCTCATGTACAAGGCTGTTGCTGCAGCGGCCTGGTTTCAACTCCAGCCTGTGGCCCTTTGCTGCATGTCATTCCCTCTCTCTCTCTTTCTCTTCCTTTCACACTTGACTTTCCTATCAATTACAGGCAAAACTGACCCCCCCAAAAAAAAAAATTAGCTGTCCTTTCAGTGTTTTTCATACATCTATTTATTTGTTGCAGCTGTCATGCTCATGCACTCTCTCTCAGACCTTTATCAGACCACAGTGAAACAATAATTAACCAGCTTGTGGATCCCATGGTCTCTCCATCTCACTACCTGCTGCTAAGAGGCTATTCGCTGGAAGGAGAGTGGGCGGAAGCTCCAGAGACAGACCTTCAGAAGTAGTTGTAGCAACTTGAAGACGGTGCAAACTTGGAATGGGTATTTTAAGTAACTTCAGTATTTGAGTACTCCCATTTAGTAATTATTGAGTACTTGAGTACTCACAATGAAAATCTATCATAGGAATAAAAATGTAAAAATTGGACAACAATGAAAAACAAGTGCAATTTGAAATTACTACACTTTAATTAGCTTATTAAACCACAAATTGAAAGTTAACATGAGAAAAATGAGTAAACCTTCTGTCGCTGCCATTTATGTTAGAGGTTAAATACAGAATTGAGGGATTGTCTCCTGAGCCATTCTGCTCCAAGTCAGTTCCTATCTTCCCAGTAATAGGGGTGGGAATCTATAGGCATCTCGCAATTAGATTGGATTTCGATGCAGGGGGCTACAATTCAATGATAAAATGATGATATCATCGATACATCACAAGGCATCTTCATTCATTCATTTTCCATAACCGCTCATCCTGTTAGGGGTCTCAGGGTCACTGGTCTCCTGTGTGTATAAGAATAACGTGGCTTCACTGTGTTGTTATTTACATTATGCAGCAGCAGAGCTGCGAGCAGCCTCTCTCTCTATTCACTCTGGGGAAAGCCAAGATGCTGACCAGGTCTGGTGCAGGATTTTTAAGATGAAACAGACTGAGCAGACAGTTATTTATTTATTTTTTTTCCAGGGGTGTTTTAAGTTGGATAATGCTGCAGCACTTATTGGTCAGCCGGCTTACGTACTAATCGCTGCTCCACTCGTTAACGTTGGTCTCGAGGTGATGGTGGAGAAAGTATTCACAATATACTTCACCCTCATACCCTCACAAATGAGAGAGAGAGAGGGACAGCATGGCAAGGAGGTGCTGAGTGGATGGTAAATGGACCTGTATTTGTGTAGCGCCTTTCTAGTCATCCGCTTTTTACACTACGAGTCACAGTCACCCATTCACACACACATTCATACACTGGTGGCCGAGGCTCCTAATCAGGTTTTTTTTATCACACTGACACACCGATGGAAGCATCATCGGGAGATATTTGGGGTTCAGTATCAAGGATCAAGGATGCTTCGACATGCAGATTGGGGATCGAACCGCTGATTTGGTGGACAGCCTGCTCTACCTTTGATCCGCAGCTGCCCCTGTGTATTTGAAGCAATATACTGCATGCAGCTCTACAATAACATAAGATTATATAAAAGTCATGTTCACATGCATAAGAGGCGGCGGCAAGTACTCTACATGTTGAGCAAAAACTGATGCCCAAAGGATTACTCGAGTACTCATG